ACATACAGTATATATATATATATATATAGATATATATAGATAGATAAATAGACAGATAGATAGATATATAGTACCTTGATAAAATTTCATCATTAAATAAATTTGATTTTCTTTGCATTACCATAATGCAAATGTCAGAGGGACTGCTTCTGTTCATGTGTCACTCCTATGTAAAGTCTATATATTTATTTTCCTGGGAATGAAGTACCTCTCCGGCTGCGTCCTCCTGGCCTCTTCGACATCCGGTGGACCGATGAATTCCCGCCAGGCTGGGATGACGTCCTCACAGCCCTCTGTCTTAGAAATGACCAGCACATGTGACGGGCCACTCGACATAAATTGGATGAGCTCCTGAAAGTAAGGCTGGAAGAACACACACAAACACACACACACACTTCACATGACAACCTGGCATTCCGCCATTACACACCATCAGCAAAAATATTCACAAACACGTTCTATTTTTAGACTTTTTCTTCATTTTACCTCTGCGGCTTTGTGTTGATAGAAGTCTTGAGCTTCTGCTTCACTCAGCGTTCTCTCCTCATGGGCCAAAATCACAAAACCCGCATCCTGAATCTACAAACAAAACATGCATTCAGGAATAAATAGAGTTCAGCTGTTTATCCATGTGCAAAGGGTAAAATACCATATGAATATAAGCAAATTAAAAGGAGGCAAAAAAAATGTTCTTCATCATTTATTTAACTTCATATTGTTGTGTAAATATTAACAGCGTACACATTTCAAATGACTGACTGTGAAAATATATAATTTTTCACTTACCTTCATGATAATCTCATCTGCTTTGCCGTGTGCCACCACATCCGGCTTTATTATAGCCACTGTGTTAGACTTATTAGCAGGACCTGAAAACACAAACCAGAGCAGGTCAATTCAGCCAACAGAGCAATTACAATTACGAATGAGATTTAATGAAGGAAAATCATTACCAATCACACCTTCATCGTGTGGGTGATCCTTAAAGTCCTCATTCACCTCTTCTTCCTCAGTTAAACCTTCGTCTGTCACCTGGAGTGACATGAAAAATGCAAATCTCTTTCATGTTACTTGTTTAAAAAGTGCCTAACAATAAGTAATAATTATTTCTGATGTATAATATTTTAATGATAATATTACAATTTATAATTAAATTATATATTTTAAATAAATTATTAAAT